TTCTTTATATATTTGTTTTTATTAATATTTAAATATTTTTACAAGGAAAATTATATTTTCAAATATTTATTAAATATTAAAAGAAAATTTATATAAGTAAAATTTACAAATGAAAGTGTAAAATTAGGCCTCGTGGTTTTATTTGCAAAAAATCTAGATTTTTATGCCACCCATGAGATACGATTTGATATATATATATATATGGAAATTTATATAATATTATTTTACATGAAGAAAAATTTTATAGATTAAGAAATTTTAATAAAATATAAAAATATGTTTATTATATTTTATTTGTTACAAAAATTTAAAATTTATATAGTGCATAATTTTTTAAAATTTTTAATTAACTAAGAATTTTAATATATTTATATTACAATATATGAGTATTAGTAATTAGCTAAAGTTTTTAGTTAACATATAATAAATTTTTTATTTAATTATAATTATATCACTTAATTTTCGGCCTAAAGTTAATAATATTATTTAAAATTATTTGGCAACAAAAAAAAAAAAAACACGTTCAGTTTTCACAAGTAGATTTGTCAAATATGCCTTTAGGAGCAGCACTGTCGCTTTCCTTCATCCTACTAGTATATTTATATAACAAAGCATATTCCAGCTTCATATGTACATATATAACACAAACACACACATGTATATAATATATTATACATACCAACACACATGTTTTACATAGTGGAGATAGATATATGCATATTCAGCCTTTAAATCATTTTTTAATGCAGATAAAACAATAAAAGGATGCTGTAATTTTCTTCAGAACATTAAAACGAAAATGCAGAAAAATAACATCTGTAACCCAAAAAGTTCCTGAGTTCTTTACTTGACCTGCAGATAGATAAATAGTTAGTGAAATGAATAAAACTCAAGAAAGCAAAATCTGATCTGCTCAGTTTGCTATGCAGGTATGGAAGCAGCAGCTGAACTGCTGCATATATTTTCAAATCCATATGGTCAAGACTCCATATATACACTAATTTATTCAACAGACTAAGAGAGTTTAACTATGAGCTGTAACTTATACCAAGATTTTCTGTAACAAACACAAAACCACAACTGTAAGGTAACTATGGGGTATAGAATGATCTTGCAGTTAAACAGACCAAATCTGGGCCAAGCTGCAAATAATTAGTCCTATGGAAGGTATAAGAAAGTTCCAAGCAACTGTAGCAGAGCTGCTAAATAGTAAAGCTTCATCTATAGATTGTTTATGCTATGTATGTACCACCTATATCAACTGCTGCAAACATCAAGAACTTCATCGCGGGTTGGTGCTCATCCACAGACAAAGAAAATGAGGTTTCCAGAGTCAGTTCCATACTTGCTAGATATGCTAGCTACCGGCTATATTTTCTGTTTCTTCTGCCTCTTCCTTCTGTACACAACACTATATGATTCCTTTGTTTCCTCTCCCTCTGCCATGCTGTCTCCCTCGACTTCTTTCCTGGTGGCTTCTGCTATAGTGGCTCCCTCATTGGTTGCTTCTCCAATCTTTCCCAGTTTGTCTTCCTTAGATTTTCTACCCACTTCTTTCCAAGTGACTTCCAGGACAGCTTCATCAGTAGCTTTCGCAGTCCCCACCAGTTTGCCTTTCTCAGATTGTCCAACATCTCCCATCACAAAGTCTTCCTTGGCCTTTTCAGTTGCACCTTCCATTTCTCTCAGCTGAGCTTCAGTTAAGACCTGAAGAAGTTCCAAAGGCATGGCGGCAGGATCAAGATCCATGCAGCCACTAGGAGCATTATGGCCTTCTTGACCTGAAAGCAAGTATGAAGGGACCTGGTGAGAGAACCGAAACATCTCTTCTCTCGGGACTGTCCTGGTTTTTCTTAGTTCTGGATGCCGGTAAAAAACAGTCTTAAAGCCGGCAACTTTCACGAGCGGAACTACTATGATGCCCTTCTCTTCGTCGTAATCACTAAGCACCTCCACCATATCATATTTCTGTATAACTTCATCAGGGGTAAACGCATTCCAATCAGATGACCAGTTCCTATAGAGAGCCCAAACATCTCCCTCTTTAGGATATATCTTAATGACTCCTTTTCTGCCTTTTGTCCAGTTAACCTTGTGCGAGAAGGAATTTAGAGATTTTTTGTCTTCATATTTCCCTACCCGAAAATCTCCACTAGTCTTGTAAAAGCCAGAACCAATCCAGTTTATTGGAGCCAGTTCATCATTGCTCTTTGATCTAAGCCACCTGATACGCATTCTGAATGGTTTCCGTGACACCACATCATCAATCATGGCATAGTAACGAGGCATCCCATCATCGTCATCATAAACAGCCCAAACCTGATTTTTTTCAAATGAATCTTCTGTTCTGTCATTATCAAAATCATGAAAATCAGGGTCAGGAACACTCATGGTCAGCATATCAGATTGCTCTGTGCTTGGATCAATATTAGACCTGGCAAAGGGAGACTCTGAGGTCTCAATGGCAGGCTTGTTATCTATGGACTCTACACATTTACTTACATCTGCTTTCTCACTATCAATCGCACTGCTTTTCTTCTTTTTCAACTCCTTATCTGAAGTAACAGCAACCAATTTCAACCCATCAAGTTTCTTTAGAATTGTCTGTTTGCCCTTCATCATCAACAGATCTCGAGTCTTCAGTTGCGGCATATCCGTTCTAAGATTAAGGGTGTTTGCTTTTCCTGCCTCAGTAACTCTCTTCCTAGATGCAGGTAGACCTATTCCAGTGGCAACCAGATTAGCCATCCCTACTGCAGTAATATTCTTCTTATGTTCGTCAATCCATCTTTTCTTCTTAGACTTATCACCTCTCATTGCTGACCCAATAGATAAACCAGAACCTAGTTTCTCATAAGCATGACAAGCTTTCATATGAGAAGCATTCTCTCTCATATCAGAAGTTGGGACTTCTTGGTTTCTTTTTGTTTGTCCAAATATTGGCAAAACAACACCTTGAGCTGAAGCAGTTGAGAAAACCTGTTCTGAAGCATTTTTAAATGATGCATTTAATAAGTTCACACCGGTGGTAACCAGATTAGCCATCCCTGCTACAGTACTATTCTTCTCATGTTCATCAACCCATTTTTTCTTAGACTTATCACTTATTGCTGACCCAATGGACAAACCAGAACCTGATTTCTCATAAACATGACGAGCTTTCATTTGAAAAACATCATCTCTCATATTAGAAGTTGGAACTCCTTGACTTCCCTTTGATTGTCCAAATACTGGCATAGCAACACCTTTAACTTGGGCAGGTGAGAAAACCTGTTCTGTAGTATTTCTATCAGTGCTCGATTTAATGCATGCATTTAATAAGTTCACACCGGTTGCAACCAGATTAGTCATCCCTACTGCAGTACTTTTCTTTCCATGTTCATCAACCCATCTTTTCTTCTTAGACTTGTCACCTATCGTTGACCCAATAAACAAATCAGAATCTGCTTTCTCATAAGCGTGACGAACTTTCATATGAAAAACATCATCTCTCATATAAGAAGTTGGGATTCCTTGGCTTCCCTTTGATTGTCCAAATACTGGCAAAACAACATCTTGAGTTTGAGCAGTTGAGAAAACCTGTTTAGGAGCATTTCTATCAGTGTTTGATTTAGTGCATTCATTTACTAAGTTCACATCGGTGGTAACCAAATTAGCTATCCCTGTTGCAGCATTATTCTTCCCATGTTCGTTAACCCATTTTTTCTTCTTAGACTTATCACCTCTTACTGACCCACTGGATAAACCAAAACCTGATTTTTCATAAACATGACGAGCTTTCATCTGAAAAGCATCATTTCTCATATTAGAAGTTGGGACTTCTTGGCTTCCCTTTGATTGTCTAAATACTGGCATAGCAACACCTTTAGCTTGGGCAGTTGAGAAGACCTGTTCTGGGACATTTCTATCAGTACTCGATTTAGTGCATGCATTTAATAAGTTCACACCAGAAGATCTTACTGGAGGCATCCCATGAGTAGATGCATTTTCACTTGTTGTATGGTCATGAGAAAGTTCACTTGTTGTATGCTGATGAGAATTCTGCTCACGCATAAAACGGTTTGGCAAGATTGATGAGTCATTCGCCCTTATCGGTGGGTTTGGTATCTCAACAGCTAAAAAAGGTTGGTGGCAGTTAGGGCATAGAAGATTGCGGTTCAGGTAAGTTTGGAAGTATTCAAATTGCATTTTACAAGAAATGCAGGTAGTCCAAAAGGTCCTCGATGTAGGACGAGGAGGCACAGATGATTTGAGAGGAGAATTGCTCTTTTGACTCATTGTATTTGGATTGATGTTGCTTGAAGAACCGTAGAAAGAACCTTGACTACTTGGCATTGCTGATGTTGATCCCTTGTTTGGAACATTCAAGTTTATGCCTGTTAAGTTCTGTTTCTGGTCATAAGCAATTCTCTTGGCTTTGTCAGACAACAAATTCCATCCTTCTGATAAAAGCGAAAAAGCTCCCTCTGCACCAATAGATCTGTTTTTATCAGGATGAAGAAAGAGAGCTAAAGTGTGATACCGTTTCTTGATTGTCTCATTATCAGCTGATGGTTCGACACCAAGAACTCCATACCAGTCAACCACGCCATTTTTCTTTTGCTGAGCAGATACATACACATCAAAAGTTGCAATCAATTGAGAAAGACCATCAAGATTAGGATACAACTTCTGTGCCTTCAGAGCCCATTTTTTTGCACCAGCAATGTCATTTTCAGTAAACTTCTTCTCTGAAAGCTCTTTTGCCCTGATGGCCTCATCTCTATTACATTCCATGTCAAGTATTATTTGTCTTTGGCTGTTTTCCTTCTTCCTCTTAAATATCGCAAAACACAATATCCACAAGCATTAATGAAGAGCTGCCTTGAACTTTAAACCTGACAAAACACAATGAACCCAATATAAGAAAACTATTTGTTTGCTTCTTAAGATGAAAATCAAACACAATATGAGAATAAAAAAGATAAAATCTTTATTAATTTCACCAAACAAAATATTTCTACATGCATTAACAATGAATTACTTTTGATTTAAAGCCCGATAAACCAAGAGAATGAATCCAATATAAGGAAACTATTTATTTGCTCCTTGAGATGGGGATCAAATCATGATAAGAGAAAAAAAAAAAAAAAAGACCTTAAATACCCTTTAAGTTGATGAAACACAACATCCACAGACATTAATAAGGACCTACCTTTGATCTAAGACCTGATCAACAAAGAGAATGCATAACTAAAATATTACTTTTCTTTGAGGGGCAAGTAAATTCTCATAGATATTTTTAATTAATAATTTCTCTTACAGTTTTTGGAAGGAACATTAGTATTTCATGGCTACAGATATAGACTAAGGAAGAAAAAGAGAAATAAGATATGTATTTCAATGTTTCCCTTCAACTCCACAATATTTATCATTTATTTGACACGAATAGTAAAGGGAATTATGTGAAGAGAAAAATGAACTATGGAGTGTGTGATTTGAACTACTGATTGACCATTGCAAAAATATATTTTTCTCGGTTATATTGAAATTATCTTCTTGTTTCTTGAGATAGTAATCAAAACTCATTATGAAAATAAAAGGAAAACCTTTTGTACATTTTATGTTGACAAACATGATATCCACGTGCGTCAATAAGAATAATAATATTCATAACATTAAATTCCAAGTACCATTTTTTGTTGTCTTCTTTCCTTCTTTGGCTTATTTCAAGTACGAAAAAAACATAATATCAACAAGACTGAACTGTGCTGTCTATTACAAACCATTCACGTGCATCAATAAACAGTTACCTACGAATTTGAACCTAATAAGCCAAAAGAATCTACCAATCTTTTTTCCTTCTTTGGCTTATTTTTAAGTAAAAAAAAACACGATATCAAGAAGTTTGAACCGCGTTGTCTATCATACACCATCCACATGCATCAATAAATAGTTATCTCTGCATTTAAACCTAATAAGCCAAAAGAATCTACCAAACACAAGGAAATTATTTGGTTGCTTCTTGAGATGAGAATAAAACAGATACAAGAATACGAAAAGAACGTGCCTTCTTTAATCTTCCCAAACACGACATCTGCATGAATCCCAACAAATTGTCTATGACCTAAACTAGATAAACCAAGATCGAGAATCCAAAATAATGAATTTATTTCCTTGATTCCTGAAATGAAAATCAAAATAACAACAAAATAAACACAAAACCTAAAATACCTTCTAAGTTGGCAAAAGACAATATGCATATGCATCAATAAGGACTTCCCTTTGATATTAAGACCCAATAAACCCAAAGAATTAAATATAAATAAACTCTGTCTTTTTCTGATATGAGAATCAAAAGACAATATGAGAAAAACAAAACCTTGTGTACCTTCTAAGTTGGCAAACTAGATATCCACGTGCCTCAATAAGATTCAAGCTACCTTTGTCTTTGATTTAAAAATCTGATACACCAGGACATAAAAAACCCAACATAAGGAAATAAGTTAATTGCGTCTTGACATGGGAATTAAAACACCAAATGGTAATAAAAGAAAGAATGCAACCTTTTAGCATGATATCATAAAGAGTTATACTTAATAAATGATTTTCCATTTGCAGAAACTCGATTTTCAGAAGAAATAAATAGATGATAGCGGCTGATAAAAATGACAAAAACTTAATATATTAAATTTGAAATCTAAATGAGGATAGATACATATATATAAAAGAAAATCTAAACACCACAACTTCAGCTTCCATCTTCAATATGTCAGTTCATGCACTCGTGGGACCTTTGTTACTCAAGAAAAACACCATAAATATATAAAATAATTTACTTGTAAATGCAATAAAAATTCAAGAGGAAGAATAAAACATAGACATAAGTAGTACATCCATAGTTTTAAAGACATTACCTCAATTCTTTTCATCCATATTTAAACAAGGGTAATCACAAATACTGTAGCTCTCAGGGAAAAATTATATCAAAATTTAAACCTTAACCCATCCTTTTAATAGACTACGTTAATAAAAAACAGTATTACACAAACACTGAAAGACACTTTATTCTCTCTTAATCTCTAAAAACATATACAGTTCTAAATTATCCAAAACAATATACAAATAAGAATTACAATACTACTAGAACTCATAACTGATCATTTAAATTAGAAGAAGACATCATGCACATACCTAACCATTATTACCCATAAGGTGAACTCGCAACTTCAGATTCCAGAATCACGATCAAGTAATGCATAAAATCTGTCAACCAAAAACATCAAATAGTTAAACCAACATCAATAAGTTACAACGAACTGGAAATAAAAAAGAAAAAACAGCTATAGTGCATAAAATTGGACCTACAATCGTCAGAAGCTGAGCATGCAAGATCGGACAGGAGAAGCGGTATGAGTATCGGGTCGGGAATGGGTGCTGACGTTTTGAGTTTTGGTCTGACGGGAAGATAAAAGCCGGTTGGCTTTGGTGAGAGAGATATGTACCAGTTACAGAATGCGGTTAAAGTAATCGGTTTCAGACGGTCTGAGAAATGGGGAAGAAGGGAACCGGATTAAAAACGAGAGTGATCGGCGATAAACGCTAAGTGGGTTTTCGGTGGAGAAAACCGTGGCACCCCGAATTGACGACGGCTATCGGCGAGTGGTTGGTTACAGGGAGAGTCTAGGGTTTTGTGCAATGTGGGTAAATGAGGATTGGAATGGTTTGATCGGGAGAAGAAGAGCGGGAATTCGGAGAAGAGAGTGGGTTGGTGAAGCAGAGATGAATGAGCAGAGAGGTTTGGGAAGACAATGTGAGATTAGGTTTTTGGGTCCGCCGAGACTTGTTAGGGTGGAGAATAAGAAGGGGATTTGACGAGTAGAAGGAATATATAAGGGGAGAGATAGGGTTGGCGGAGCGGAGGAGACCGTGGTCAGCCACGCGGCTGAGGCTCTGCAAATCTTCGAGCATGCAAGCGAAAACTCGTATTTATATTTTTATATTTGTTTGAATATATACATATACATATTTATTTTTTTAAAAAAATCGCTTGAAAATATTTTGGGTTGGGCTTTTTGTTATTTTATTTATTAGTCCAGTCTCTTACTTGCCTCTCCACTCAGGCTTTCATAATGAAATACTTAAAATGGATTAAATTAAAATTTTCAAATTTTATTTTAATTTGGGACATTTAAATATATTTATTACATATTTTTCAAATATTAGATTTTTAATTAAAATGAAAGTTTGTTAGGTTAATAGAGATTAATAAATAACTAAATTAATTATGTGATATTTTCATTAAAATAAGGAAATAAATGAAAATATCACATAATTAAATTTGTTCAAAAATGCCATGAAAAACGTTACTCAATGAGGAAAAGAATTAGGGATTAATTTTTTTTTTTTAATTTATGAATTTAATAATTTATTAATTATTGTTATTATAAATTTTGATAAATTAATTAAGAATTATATAAGTAAATAGTTACCTTATATTTTAATTTTAATAAATTAATAAAGGAACAAATTCAATAAAAATCTGTTGCATTAAATTATAATATGAGAATGGTAAATAGAATTATAAAATATCTAATCCAAAATGGTTCGCTTTATAATATTAAATCTGTGAAATATAAAAATATTTTTCTCAAAAACAAAAGGATATGAAAAACTAGTAGTCATCAACAAATTAATTTAGCGAATTCTCGATATATGTTAGTTCTTTTATTAGAGATTATGATGTTTGGCTTTCAATAAATAATTACATAATTAAACATATAATGAAATCATAATTATAGCTTTTTGCTGTATTAATTATGTAATAATTTTATTGATCAATTTAGTTTATATTTAATAAATTATATCATGTATATTTATTTATATATCTATTTATCTTTCTAGAGTTGTATTTATTCAATGTATCTATTTACAAAAAGTTTTTTTTTTAATGATTAAATAAAATCTATATCATGAATTTTTAAAGAAAAATATCTACTTGCATTTTGGTTTAACTTGACAGAAAATATTAAATGTGAAAACTAATTAATTACTTATTATTTTATTTACTAAAAATTATTTAATATTTTCATACTTAAATTAATATTTTTGCTTCAATTATAAAAAAATGTTTTTATTAATTATTTTTCTCTTCCATACCAATTATATCATATTTATCTCTCTCTATATATTTAATTCTCCTTAATCATATAAGTAATGAAATAGTTAAATTTCATATTACTATCTATCAATTTAAAGGATTTAGAATTTTGTATATTTTATATAACAAATAATTGTAATGGATTGGCAACATGGATCATAACCCTATTGACAATATTTAACTTATCGACAACTAGACTTCCCTAAACGACTACATATTTATAACTTTTGGTACGAATTTTGTTACAATATTTTATAAAATTTCAACTTATAAATTGTATAAATTACAATGTAGTTTCTAAATCACCTTGGTGTTATTTTTGCCACGAATATTGATATAAATTTTTAATGTAAAAAACGTGATTTTAATAGAAAATTTTATGTATTTTTATATTTTCAAGTTTACATAATTATATTGTGAAGATAACAAATTTTATATGTATGTTTAAAGTTATTTAAATTATAATTGAGGTTGTCTTCCTTGGTCTTTTCAATTGCACCTTCTATTTATCTTGCATGAGTTTTAGTTAAGACCTAAAAAAGTTCCAAAGACATGGCAGCAAGATCAAGCTCCAGACAGCCACTAGGAGTATTATGAGTCTTCAGCCATCAAGTTGTTTTAGAATTATCTGTTTGCCCTTTATCATCAACAAATCATAAGTCTTTTGTTGCGCCCTACCTATTCTACGATTAAGGGAGTTTGCCTTTCCTGCCTCAAGAATGTCATTCGTAGATCCAGGTAGACCAACTATGATTGGAATTCGATTAGCCATCTTTGGTGTAGTTCTATCCTTCTTATATTCGTCTACCAATCTTTTCTTTATAGTTTTATCATCTATCACTGATCCAATGGACAAACCAGAACCTGATTTATCATAAACATGAGCAATTTTTATCTAAAAAACACCATCTTTCATATCAAAAGTTAGAACTCCTTGATTTCTCTTTAATTATTCAAGTACTGGCAAAACAACATCTTGAGCTTGAGTAGTTGAGAAAACTTGTTCTTGAGCATTTATAAATGATGCATTTAATAAATTCACACTGATGGCAAGCAGATCAGCCATCTCTGCTGCAATATTATTCTTCCCATGTTTATCAACCTATCTTTTCTTCTTAGACTTATCACCTCTTGCTGACCCAATAGATAAACCATAATCTGGTTTCTCATAAGTATGACGAGATTTAATCTAAAAAACATCATCTCTCATATAAGAAGTTGGGACTCTTTGCTTTATCTTTGACGGTCCAAATACTGGCAAAATAAAACTTTGAGTTTAAGCAGTTAAGAAAACCTGTTCTAGAGCATTTCTGTTAGTACTTGATTTAGTGCAAGCATTTAATAAGTTCACACTGGTGGCACCCAAATTACCCATCCCTTCTGTAGTAATATTCTTCCTATGTTTATCAACCCATATTCTCTAATTAGACTTATCACCTCTTGCTGACCCAATGGATAAACCAGAACCTGATTTCTCATAAACATAATGAACTTTTATCTAAAAAACATTATCTAACGTATAAGAAGTTAGGACTCTTTGGCTTTCCTTTGATTGTCTAAATACTGGCAAAACAATAACTTAAACTTGAATAGTTGAGAAAACCTGTTATGGAACATTTTTATCACAGCTCAATTTAGCGCATGCATTTAATAAATTCACACCAATAGACCTTGCTGGAGGCATGCCACGGGTAGATGTGTTTTCATTCATTATATACTGAGAAGAATGTTCACTTGTTATATGCTAATTAAAATTTTGCTCGCGCATAAAATAATTCTGCAAGATTAATGAGTCATGACCTTTATTGGTGGGGCTAGTATCTCAATAGCTAAAAAGGGCTGGTGGCAGTTAGGGCATAAAAGTTTGTGGTTCATATAAGTTTGGAAGTATTTAAATTGTATTTTATGTCTAGTTTTTCTCGGGTATATGAAAATTATTTCTTTGTTTCTTGATATAGAAATCAAAACTCATAATAAAGATAAAAAGTAAACCCCATATACCTTATAAGTTGACCAACACGATATCCACGCGCGTAATAAGATATAATATTTATGACATTGTAGTCAAAGTATTATTCTTTGCGATTTTTTTTGGGGG